TACTCGTCTAGTTGATGCTGCTTTGCAGAGACGTCCGCTTTAGCTGAAAGTTCTAAATTTGAAAATAAGCGATATTGTGCGCTGCGGATGGTCGCTGTGATATACGTTCTAATGAGAGAAAATAAATCTTCTGCGCATAAACTGTAAATCTCAGAGCCTATATAATTCCCAAACTCTGAGTTCTGAAAAGTTGAAGAACATCATTTAGAGCTTTAGACTCTTAGACGTCGTTGGAATAGTTGGTTGAACTCCCTCTGTAATGACAGACAAAACAGAAACAGGAACTACGGTATGAGCGGGCGTTCGCTCAAACTGCTCGTCGGAACGGGTGGTTGAACTCCCTCTGAAATCAACAGAAAAATGTAACAGAGAACAACTAGGTGAACGGGCGTTAATAGACCATGTGGAGCGGCTTGTTGAACTCCTCTTAACTTGAACAGAAAAGGACAGTTGTGAGCTAGTTCTTGAACGTCCGTTTTATGGATTCTGCGAAACGGGCTTTTGAACTCCATTAAATACAAATTTCTGAACGGGTGTGAAATGGACAAATTTGAAAAATTTTATCAGTCTTGAACGGGATTGGAATGAGATTCCGACGCATGTTTCATGTTTTTTTTCGCTCTTGGATTTAGAAGGAAAACGAGAGCAAAAAAAAGGATGAGCGCATGATCACGTCTGTGTTGTTGGTCATTAATCTGAGTCGATAAAATCACGTTTTATCGGCCCCTGAGTAGTCTGTCGCGCAAAATCGTTTTATCGTTTAGATTAAAAATAGGTTACCAAAATCGTAACTTCTAATCTAACCCGTAAAAACTTCCTTAATCTAAACGTGTGTTATGTGAGGTTTGACCTGCAGGACTCTTGTTTACAATTCTTTCGTTTAACTTTATTTGACTCCTTAAAGTGTTGGATTATGCAACATGTTTCTTCACAGTGAGTAGTCTGTAAATAGTAGTTAAATTTTTATATGATACGTAGGTGTTCAGAAAAAAACGAAGCAAATGAAATCGCAATTAATTATTTTCTTCATTATTTCATTTTGTGTGCTATCTATAAAAATATATATGATACCAATAAATGTATAAAAACATTTGATAGTAACAAAAAGATAAAAGATTTAATGAAAATCGTAACAGACGACAAATTATTATGGTATCATTTTCTGTTTACATATTGTATAATCAATCATATATTTCCCGAAAGAAATGTTCTAGAATTTATGTTTATATTAGTCATTAATCAAAATCACTTTAGGGTTTTTGCCAAGCCAATTATCTTTATCTCTACTTCAACAGAAGGAGAGACAAAAGAACAATATTTATATATAACGTTAACTTTAAGCAATGTATCAATAAATGACTATACTAGTAGATTAATACGTCTCATTTATTTCTCTATCTTTTAACGAATATATTTGTATTTAAAAAAGAAAAAATGTATCGTTGCGATAATTGCTGCGATACTGAAGCTCGTAAAATGAATCGTCAAATTGAAAAACAACTACGAATCGCTAAGAAAAATCGAGGACGAGAATTAAAATTACTGCTATTAGGCACTGGAGAAAGTGGCAAAAGTACATTTATCAAACAGATGAGAATTATTCATGGATGTGGTTATTCTGATGCTGATAAACGTTTATTTATCAAATTTATCTATGAGAATATATTTAAGGCCATGAATTCAATGATACAAGCCATGGATATATTAAAAATCTCTTATGTAGATAAGTGTAATGAAGAGCATGCTTCTTTCGTTTATATTGTCGACTATAAAATGATGCCGACATCTGAATTCTTTCACTACGTTAAAGCAATAAAAAGTTTATGGAACGATGAAGGAATCAAAGAATGTTATCAGAGAAGACGAGAATACCAGTTAATCGATTCAGCCAAATACTATTTGGATAGTATTGATCGTATTGTCGAAACGGATTACGTTCCAAATGAACAAGATATACTTCGAGTTCGAGTGCCTACAACCGGAATTATTGAATATCCATTTATTTTGGACAATATTCTATTTCGAATAGTAGACGTCGGTGGACAACGTTCCGAGAGGCGAAAATGGATACATTGTTTTGAAAATGTGGCATCGGTTATATTCTTTGCTACACTAAATGAATATGATCAAATGCTTGTAAAATCATCGACTATAAATGAAAATCAGATGGAAGAGAGTAAAGCATTATTTCATACAATCATTACATGTCCATGGTTTACTCGTTCATCAATAATTCTATTCTTAAACAAAACAGATTTATTAAAAGAAAAAATAATGTATTCACATTTGGTCGATTATTTTCCCGAGTTTCAAGGTTCGAAACGAGATGTCGAAGCTGCGAAAGAGTTTATTCTAAACATGTATTTAGATTTAAAAGACGAGAATGATAAAATTCTTTATTCACACTTTACATGTGCAACTGATACTAACGGTATTCGCTTTCTATTTGCTGCTATCAAAAATGACGTTTTGTACAAGAATATGGATGAGCTTAATTTAAATTAATTGTTGTTATAGTATACTTTTGTTATCGTGTGGGTATTTAATTCCTAATATTTTAATCATGCTACTACAAAACACATTCGTATTATAATTATTATTATTATTTTACATTTTGTATAAACTAGAACGAAAAACGTGCATCTTTTTATTTTAGGTATCCGAGTCGTATAAATCGTTTGTTCTTTCACAAACAAAAAGATCTCTACCATTAGAAAATTTGGTGCTCGCCCCGAACAAAATTAGATAGAAATTGGGTGCCAGATACCAAATTTCTGGGTGATTCAGCAGATACCGCGTTCCTTTTAATTCCATTTTGAGTTCTTCTCTATCGTCGACATAAACTACATGATTTTTGCCAATGAGAAACATAAAATTTAGACAAAAATCACATGGATTATGTCGACGCAAGAGAAGAAGTCAAAATGGAATTAAAAGGAACCGGGTATGTAATTCACCAACAAATTTGGTACCTAGCACCCAATTTCTGTCTAATCTGGTTCAGCACGGAGTGAGCACCAAATTTCCTAATGGAGAACATCTTCCAAAGGCTGAATTTTTCATTTCTACTCTACGAACTGTTACAATAACAAAAATGCACTACCACTGGCAAGTTTTAAAATTTATGGGATAGCGCCTTCCAACTGCAAATATCTTGGCTACGCCACTAATCTCGTAATTCAAGTGATGTTCTGTTTCTCAAGATGCGAACGGTACTTTCACTTTTCAATTGTTTGCCATTACTCGTAATCAGTGTAATCACAATCACCCAGCTCAACCGGGACGGTCGTTAACGATCAGCTATAAAAAAATCGTTAACGTTAAATTAATGGTGTAAAAATGGTTCGTAAAAACGGTCCTTTCGGAATCGTTCTGCATCAAATGGTTAATAGCCAAAGAAGAATGTAATTGTTGCACACGTTTTATTTCAGCAAATGAACAACTATATATAGTACAGATTAGCTACAGGAACCGCACTCAGGGAACCTGGAAAAAATACCTGTTGTACAAGAGACAGAAAGAGAGTGTGAGAGAGAGAAGAATACGAAGGAAAAATACCCATCGAAGAGTGAACAGAAAGAGAAACATATATCATTGAAAAGCAGAAGAGTGAATTAACAGAAGAACAGAAAGAGAAAATAACCATCTAGTGAAGAGAACATGTGTATTGAAAGATGACAACTGCTGGTATGAGATTTGGTTTACACTTCCTAACACTGTATACCATATATGTACCGTTTTGTCGACAGGTCACTCATCCCTTTTATGTTGTTATCACTGCTAGTATATATGCAACGCTGACTTTCTCGAATAAGTTAGAATTTTTGCTTTCCTCGTATATACAACGTCAATGAAACTTGATTAGATGAAGTGACCATTTGTCTTGGTCTTAATAACTTACTAAAGATAGTATTGTGATTCTAGATACCAGAAATGGTACTAAGGACTAAATTGTGCTACAAACAATATTTTACAGATAGCCAGTGAAAAACAAGACTTTTAAATGCAGCATTTATAAAAAGTTGCATTAATGATGAAACAGTAATTTGTAAAAAAAGACAATCGTAAAACGACCTAAAAATCGTCCGAGTTAAACAACGGAAAACCGGTCTGTTAATGACACCTTTTTCATGAACCTGAAGGCTTGTCCACGTAACGGAACACTTCGCTGATCAAGTTTTTGAAAAATGATTTTCCGATATCGAAAGTTTTGAACACATGATTAGATGCAGTTTCTAATTCTTAGAACCCGTTTGAAACTCGTTTTTCAAAAAAGGTCATCTTTCATCCAAAAAACCTGGTTTTGAACTTTCAGAAATCGGATTTTTAATGTTTTAACCCAAAACACTTTTTAAAACAAATTTCTAAAAATATGCTTTTGTAGATAATTGAATTCTCTACAAAATGGCGTATGCTACTGTAACAAGTTTACTTGCTAGGTACAATTTGTACATAGTTGTAAAATTTCCGACTTACTGTCTTCTTTGCGTCTACAGCGCCACGAGCAACAACAATGAGTCATTTTCTGTTATCATTACACAGACAGCAGAAACAAGAAGAAAATGTCAGTAGTAGTTTGATAGAATCATCATTGTCTCCCAGAAAATATCAGTTAGTTTGAGAAATGCGCAGTTCAGCGCAAGCCATTACCTTTTCTCTCTGAAGTCGAACCAAAATGTTCCGAAGCAGAAAAGGGAATCGTGCATTTCTTTTGCTATCGAAGAGTGATTTGCAATATCTTGAAATATTCAAAGGGACTAAAAAAAAGGGGGAGAGAAACTAATAGACGACTTTTCCACCTTAAATGTCGCTGTCCAAACGACCGTCTACTCCATCGAACACTGCTATACAGTGTATATCATAGTCTGGAGCATAGATCTTGTTCTCATTTAAATTCCAAGGTAACCCAGTCGGTCTTCTCACCGTATTGATATTGTCGTCTGTTATAGTTTTTGTCTACTATGATAAACGTCAATCCAGGGGTGTTGAGACTGAACATCTGTACACTTTAATTGTTGCTATCTGTTACACCTAACGTATCGTTATCATAGACAAGAACATCTTGTGGATGGGAAAACTGGCCTCTTCCTAGCGTTTCTTTCTATTTTTTTGTACAGAAATTCTGTTGAAGAAACGTCCAGAGCATCGTCGTTGGTTAGTCGAATTAGTCGAATTTTTTTTAATCGATTTTAAGAAGTACCTATATATCAACCATTACTTAATTATTTTGAAGACACATATTTAGGTAGACATCATTAGAAAATTATGTACTTTTGTCGCACTGTACCAAATTAGGTAAAAATTGGGCGCTATGTGCAAAATTTTTCGGTGAATCCGACAGCGGGTTCCTTATAATTATACTTTGACTTCTTTTCTGGTGTCGACATAATCTACGTGGTTTTTGCCTAAATTTTATTTGGCGCTTTTTTTTCAACCAATGAGAAAAATAAAATTTAGGCAAAAACCACGTAGATTATGTCGACACCAGAAAAGAAATCAAAGTATAAATATAAGGAACCCGCTGTCGGATTCACCGAAAAATTTTGCACATAGAGCCCAATTTTTACCTAATTTGGTGCAACCCGGCAAAAGTACCTAATTTTCTAATGTCGACCAACAGATAGATCAGATCCATTATTCCCAATTAAATTTTGGAATATGCATTAAAGAATAACTAAACTGTCGAATCTTAACATAGTAAGATTTTCTATTTTGATTGATTTTGTTTTGCTTTCGATCGTCAGTTAAATTGCTAATATTTTCCTCATATAGTTTATTTAAATGTTTGTCGATGATTGCATCCACAAATCCTTTTGAATAGCCGTTTCATGCTATCATCTTTCGTATGTAGTCAAATTCCTCATTTAATAGATGAAAGTCAGACTAAATTCGAATTACTCTTTGATCTAATGAGCTAACTGCTGTTTTTTTATATGCTTTCGGCACAATACTATCTCATTTTATCATGAGACGGGTCGTTATTTTTTTCCGAAAGGCACTCGTCGTACAACCATCATCTGTTCATTTTAATGGAATTTTGTTATAATGTTCTTTCTCGAAAGTGAATTTTATCGAGGGATGTAGTTTATTTAATGGGTGAGTCTATTGCCACTTCCTCGGCGTGTCAACAAGGAGCTCGTTTCAGTGCTTCATTCAAGAGCTTCATTTCAGTTACGTATCTATTACTCCAAGAACAGGACAGGAGTAAAAAGGTTTCAAACAAAAACATAAGACATAAAAATCCATTTAATCCATCTGAGGTGTTCCAACGATACTCCGTCTGATGAGGGGAAGGATTTTTTAATTAGGTTCTAGTTCTGTAGAAAACCTCGTGTATCTGGAACACCCCTGATTTTATTTCAAGGTTTTAGAGGTTTCGACACTCCTCAAAATTAAATAAAGCAAAAATAAAAAAAGTTCCTTCCCTCATATGAAGTGGTAAATAGCCAAGGGGGAAAAATCTCACTTCAAGTGTGTGCACTTATGACCGAAGTGATACTTCGGTCATAAGAGCTCTGACATAATTTAGATTGATCTTGACTGGATTATGAATTTTCTAATTATACTCGAAAATAGGCAGCAATGAGTTATTCCACCTAATATAGGTATGAAGGGTGATTAAAATAAGACATCGCCCAGCTCTACACGACCTTTCTTTGCAAAGCTATGGAACTTACAGGGAAAGCCCTAAATGTCCATTGTCAGCTCAAAGCTACAGAAATAAGAAGAAATTAATTTAGGGATTTTCTTGTAAATTCTATAACTTTGCGAAGAAACATCGTGTAGAGGTGGGAGATGCCTCATTTTAATCAGAAATTTGCGGGTTACAATCATGCTTCATTAAAAAGGAGGTTTTGGTTATTCTTTAGAGTTTCTAAAAACTGGTTTTCCAGAAAACCGGGTCTTCAGAAGCCATACGCGCGCGCCTTTTTGGGTATTTACTATCTCACTGAGGTCTATCGATCCATGTACAAATCGCTGGAATCGGAAGAGAACATCTAGAAAGGTTCTCTCGTAAGTGTCACTTCAGATGATGAAGCGTCACTTCAAGTGAGAGATACTTCGAAGTGTGTGCAGTAAAATTGGACGTTATTTCCCCCTTATAAATAGCTCTCCTTCAACTAAAACAACCCCGGGTTCTGTACCTTGAAGTATAGTGAAAAATAAGTTGCACGGGCAGAGGGCCCGCTTGCGGCCTTGGTCTCTAGAAAGCTCCTGGACGCTGAGGTTTGGCGGCGTAAAAAGAATTTCGCAACTTTACTTTTATGTGCCCAACATTTGTGGAAAGTTTAATAGAAATCTCATGCACTAAATCGAAAATTGATTTTGGAGGGGGGGTGGCCTTAAAGGTACATGTTTCTTGGCAGATAAAAAATTGTAAAAGCTCCAGGCAAAACTTCGATTTTTCTATCAGATGGGGTGCACATCGCTCTTTCATGAGAAAAGCTGATAATGGAGCTTCTAGACAACTAAGTCCTTAGTTTTTAGAAAGTTTTGCAAACCAT